GGTTTGGGGGTTTAGGGTTTGGGTTCGGGGTTTGGGGGTTTGAGGTTTAGGGTTCAGGGTTTGGGGGTTTAGGGTTTAGGGTTCAAGGTTTGGTTGCGGGTCTAGATTTTGGGGTTCAGGGTTTTGGGGTCTAGAGTTTAGGGTTCAGGGTTGCGGGGGTATGTAGGGCTCACATTGTTTATGGTGGAAGGTCTCGCGTTTTTCTGATTTAGGGAAGTTTGGGGATTGAGGTGCTGAAAGTTTAACTGAGACAAGCTATCCGTTGTTTTCAGGCTTCGGATCCCGGCTGCTCGGCGGATATTCCGCGTGGAAGGGAGTCATAAAGGTGACAGCACGGGCGACAGCCGTGTATGCCATAGAGCCTTTCGTTCAGGCCTTATGTCTAGTACTGTCCAGTTTCCCAGATTTCGGATTTAGTACCGGCCCTACCTGTAGCCTCCATTGTAGTTCCTTTTTGGGGATACCTTATAAAAGTCCTTGATATATAGTTGGTTAAACCAGAAGAAGGAACTAGAATGGAGACCTAAACCCTAGAATTTAGGGCTTAGGGCTTAGGGTCGAGGCTTCGGTCGTAGTGTGTTCGTGTAAACGTCACTGGGCTGCTTCACTGAGATTGTGGGGTTTAGGGTTTAGGGGTTTAGGGTTTAGGTTGTTCTTTATGGAAGCTGTGGTGCCGCAGCCATTTTTGGCGGGGAAGGAGCACGTGGACAGAATGGGGAATCTTATCTGTAGCCTCAAACCCGACAAAACGGTGGGCCATTGCCCTTTCCGCAGTTTTAGGGTATGGCCCCCAAATCACTGATACTGTTGATGATATAAATCCTGCATGACCTTAGGACCCTAAACGATGGGAATTATGGTATATTCCTATATTATTACAGGTAATGCAGGATTTATATCATCAGCCGCAACATCGTGTCCCCAAGCCCTAACTTCCTCAAACCTGAAACACCAAAACCCGAATCCCGGTCCCAGGAACCCTCAAACCCTCAGACACTGCAACACTGAATCTCCACACCCCGCAATCCTTATTATAGTACCCTTCAGAACCCCCTTGCAGTACCCTTCTAGAACCCTTATACCACCCTTATAGAACCTACCCTGCGCTTACAGATAGAACCCTTATGCTACCTTTAAGAAAGAGCTGTTAAGGAACCCTTTCAACGAACTGCGCCGGGGGTGTTTACTGCCTCAGGGTTCCGCGCAGACGGCGGCTCTGGTGCCGCCGCTCTGGGATGGAAAAAGAGGGCGTCGGCCTTGTAACCTGGGGGTTCGCCTCACAATATAGGGTTCAGGGCTTATAGGGTTTATAGGGTTTAGGGTTCAGGGTATATGTTAGAGTAATAAGGGCTCTATGTTTACTAAAAGGGTTCTAAGAGGGTTAGTTACTGTGAGGATTTCGGTGAATTAGGGGTCGCGGGTGCAGGGTGTCGGGGTTGAGTTGGGGGTTTGAGTTGGGGTTTTGAGTTGGGGGTGCAGGGTGCAAGGTGTAAGTCGGGTTCCTAATAAAAAGGATACCACCCACTCGTTTGTTTTTTTTTTTAAGGGGGTGGGAGCTCCTGTGTTTTCTGAAAGACACCCACATCAGGCTTCGAGGCTTCGGGATCTTTCGCTGTTGGGGGTTTAGGGCTTAGGGAAATAATGTTTGGTGTGTTGCCTATTCACATTCAAGGTGTAGAGTTTAGGGTTTAGGGTGCCGATGTAAACACTGTGGACTGCAGCGTTGAGCTCTGTGCCTCATGTGCTTCACTACTCTCTGAAGTGTTGAGTCTCCTAGACTGGTTTGTGTGTCGACCTCCGGCAATCGTCTGGAGATGCTGTTGTTACATGCTAGCTACTACTGTACTAATGTGGAAGATGTTTTTGTGTGTTGCACCGGTTAAGCGTATTTAGCCCTAAACGCAAAGCCTTGAGAGGTAAAGAAGGGTGTAGGCAGTTTAAAAAATAAACCCAAACCCTAAACCCCAAACCCTAAACCGCAGACCCTAAACCCTAAACCCAAAAGCCTGAACCCTAAACCCTTTTGACAGCAAGAGCTTGGAATCTTCAATGCTCGGCAGTCGGGACTCCAGCTCTTCCAAAACCCTTTAATTAAGGAAAAGACTTTACATCGTACTTTAGGGATCCTACTACAATTTAAAGGTATACTCCTTACCTATATAGTAGGATCCGTGTGAGTCATAACTTAAGGTGTATATTCCTTATTTCAGGGATCTTGGAAAGATCTGGGTGTGTTCTCCGGGGGATTTGCAGCTACTGCTTCGCCAGGATTTGCGGTGCAAAACCTGGAGGAATAATTGTTTTGGGTCGAATAGTTAACAGTAATTTTCTATCATAGCCCCTACTGTAAGTGTACAAGGTTATAGTAAACCACCAAACCCTATTCTAATTGTTCAGGCGCTAGAACAAAAGCCGGACGTTCTCCCTGCCCGCCGCAGCGGCCTTGGCTTGGCCACTCCGGAGCACTGCCCTGATGCATGTCCGACATACACAAGAGCTCCCGCTTTGTCGGTTCAAGGTATTGCGGGTAGGGTTTAGGGTTCAGGGGGTAGGTCTAGGGTTAAAGTCTCCAGGGTCCCTTGGGACGAGATTAGGTCTACAGAGGTTCCGGGCCATGAACCTTCGGTACGCGTCCGTCAGGGTTTTGGGAGAAATACGTCGCCCCGCCGCATGGCTCCAACCGTCCCTCTGGACTTCGCCTTTGCAGATCCCGAAGACGCCATGGGAGACTGGGAGCAGGCGGGTGAAACGGTGCTTGCATCCCTATGCCAGCATGACCAAAAGCTCTATCTACATACATACATATATATATATATATACATACATACATACATACATACATACATACATACATACATACATACATACATATATATATATATATACACAAACATGCACACACACACACACACTCTCTCTCTCTCATCTTCTCTCACACTTGTTCACCAAGGGCTTAGGGATTCTGTGCTGACTTTGCATCCAGGTGGTTTCTGAGCTCCCAAGGTCAGAAGTTCAGTCCTTCTCGGGTTTCAGAAGACCTCGATAGCCGATAGCCTCTAGGTCGCCGAGCGCGCGGACGTTCAAGGGGTGCCGACTAAGTGGGGGTCCAAAAGGTAAGCAAAAGAAAGTCTTGCGTGTCAGAGGGCGGGAGTCTTGATATTTCTTATCGTGAGCTCTTGGAGTTTAGGGATTAGGGGTTTAGGGGTTTAGGGGCTTAGGGTTTAGGGTTTAGGGGTTTAGGGTTTAGGGTTTAGGGGTTGGAGGCTTGGTGTAAAATCAAGAACTGCGCCAGCGGAATTCGAAAAGGAAGGGCATAGGCCTAAACCCTAAACCCTAAACCCTAAACCCTAAATATCCCAAGCCCTTGACACCAGGGCCTAAAACCCCGACCCTAAGCCACTTTAGGGGCTGTTGTAGGGGCTCTTTTAGGGGTTCGTTTAAGGGTTAGCTTTAAGCTCTTGAACCGTTCCTCTAAGGCACCTTGAAAGGAACCCTTCGAGGAACCCTTAAGGGAACCCTCATCCAAGGAACCCTTAAAGGAGCCCTTACACGAATCCTTAAAGGAACCTTTAAGGGAACCCTCAAAGGAACCTCTACCGGAACCCTTAAACGAACCCCATAGAAGAGCCCCCTAAACCCTAAACCCCAAACCCTAAACCCTAACGACCTACGTCAGCAGGTCGATCCGCCGGAGGTTTCAACTCCCGAGCATTGGAGCGATGTCGGCCTACTCAGCGCGCGAAGCTGGGCGCGATTAGTGGTGCGTCTTCGGGTTTAGAACGTCTGGGACTTTGGGTCTAGATTTTAGGGTTTAGGGTTTAGGATTTAGGGTGTAGGGTTTAGGGTTTAGTCCAATTAAAAACTTTCGGGCTTGGTTAGGGTGTTGGAGGGGCTTCTTCGTGTTGTACAGATTTGTTTATGAGGGCTTGAACAGGGCAACGGCTGCATCTGCATGGTCGGACGTGCCCGTCCACTCTGCTTCATTCATAGACTCTTTGGTAGAAGTTTACCATAGGCAGCCTACCCCAAAATCCTAGCCGAATTACTAAGGACCCCATACTATAAATGTTTAAGCTCAGATTGTTTAAGCTCAGATACCCCAAAGCCCTAGTCTAATTATTAAGGCGACTATATTGTACTTGTTTAAGAAGCGAGTTTCTTCTGTCTGCATCCTCGCATTTTCTCGGCTCATCCCGAAAATCCCGGAGCAAAGGCCGAAAGCACATAAGCAGAGGGGCCTGAAGTATCAGGAAGACTACTCCTTAAGGTTCCTTTCTAAGACTTCCACTACACCCCCAAGAACATAGTCTATATAAGTATTCAGGGCCCCTCTGTCTCCGGAGGTGGTTTGAGAATATGTGGAAGAAACAAAGGACGAAGGGGGGGAAAAGTACAGTGTCCATCTATTTAAGCTAGATGGTGGGATGACGGCGCTTGGGATGTGCCAAGTCGCTCCTACGCTGTCAGGTGTCCGGGTAGCTGAGCCCTAAGTTAAACCCCGTCGCCTGTTTGATCCTCTGAGGGATAGGTTTCATCCCGAAAACTAAACCTGAGGTTATATACACCAAACCCTGAACCTTATAACTTATAAGCCCTAGCCCCCCAAACTCTGTACTTTTTCATCCCCTAAGCCCTACACCCCTTAACCCCAAACCCTAAACCCTAAACCCTAAACCCTTAACCCTACACCCCTCAACCCCAAACCTTTGTAAGCCTTCCAAGCCCCTGAAGCCGCCCAAAGCCGAGGAACTGGTCTTCTGGAACAGCAGCTGCAGGCCACGCAGGCGCATGGCATGGCACTCCAAAATTTAGGGTTTAGGGTTTGGGGTTTAGGGTATAGGGTTTAGGGTCTAGGGTTTAGGGTTTAGGGTTTAGGGTCTAGCTCTCTCCAACAATGTTTCGTGAGGGGGGGGGGGGGGC